CCCAATAACTTTATGGAGTATATGGAATATGCTCCGAAAAACTTAAAGTAGAAAAGACAGTATTAACATCAGGAATTAATTCAACTTGAAAAGGATGCTAAATGCGAATGCCAAAGATTACAAAACCAGAAAAGCTTCTGTTCTAACATGTACTCAAATAGTGCAATCTATGAAGGAACCTCCAGATACATATTCGACCATGAAGGTATTAATTATTTATTAACTCACTTTCCAAATACATGAATCGGAAATTTAAGCATTGATAGACATTATTTCTACATCAGTTTTGCGAAATTATCTCGAAAACTAAACAAGACTGACCATTTTCATGATCTTTTTATATAGAATTTTAAAACCTAAGAAAAATTTTGAAAACAATTACTCTATTTCACTTAATTGCCAAGATGTCCCATAGAAAGTAATTATATTAAATAAAATTGATTTGTCTAGAAAATTCAGTTATCATAATAGCATAACTTTTATTCTTTGCACGTGCACTTTAATGGTACTTATTTCACTAGTAGCAGATTATACTTGTATTTGGAATCTGTGGTTGTCTACGGTGTAAGGAAATTGCAAACAAAAAAGTTAAAGATGTAAAAGATTTAGATAATAACAGACATCTGATATCAATCGGTGATAAAAAAAATGACCACGCCGGATAATTCATTATTGAAAATATTTTCCATGGCATAGTTAAAAAATATATCTTATTAAGACCACTGGGTCAATTCAATGACAAATTTTCCATCCCATATTAAGACAAAAGATGTGTTCGTCAACCTATTGAAAGACATGAGATAAGAGAAGTAACGGAAAATATTGCTTTCTATTTCAAACAATAAAATTTGGAAAGATATACTGGCCACTGCTTGCAAAGAACACCAGCAACGCTTCTTTCTAGCAGTATGTAATTAGCCGCAAATTATCAACAATTACAAAAACGAACTCATACAATCGATTGTAAATCGTTCGCAGGTGATTGTAAAAAAGGTCATAATGTTTAAGAGTAGATAGTTTTCTTATAAAAAATAAAAAACTTATGACCCATGTAGTTAGCCGCATTTTTTTTCTAATCACTCTTAAATAATTTTTTTTATTGTAATCGTTTGCAATTTGTTTGTAAATACTATATTCATTTGAATCGACGTTTAAGAGTCATTAGTCTGGAAATTATCAGCAATAAACGTGATTGCAAAATTGCGTGGAGGGGATAAGACTTTGCAAGTGTGACGGCGCATGCGCAACTATTCAGAGGATTTTTCTGTTATACGTTCAAAAATAGATTAATGTCTTTCTCACTTTAATTTTGAAAGATTTCACTACGGTTGTCTTTTAATTGAACATTGAGTAACACATCGAAACCATTGTACTTTTTCTAAGTACATTAATAATTATAATAACTTGTTCACTAATGGGTAACATTTGGAGAACAATTATCGTTTGAGTAATCCCTGGTTATTCCCACCCAAGCTTACAGCTTATGCTGTTAATTTCATAAACCCAGTTAGGGTTGGGCAAAAACCTTGAATTCAATACTTACGTTTTTTTGTTAAACAGAAGTGTTAAACTAATGTCTCATGACAAATGTTCTAGGGTTCTGTCAGCCCATATTCTGCTTGGGTAGGAATAACCAGGGATTACTCAAACGATAATTGTTCTCCTAATGTCACCCATTAGTGAACAAGTTATTATAATTATTAATGTACTTACAAAAAGTACAATGGTTTCGATGTGTTACTCAATGTTCAATTAAAAGACAGTCGTAGTGAAATCTTTCAAAATTAAAGTGAGAAAGACATTAATCTATTTTTGAACGTATAACAGAAAAATCCTCTGAACAGTTGCGCATGCGCCGTCATACTTGCAAAGTCTTATCCCCTCCACGCAATTTTGGAATCACGTTTATTGATGATAATTTCCAGACTAATGACTCTTAAACGTGGATTCAAATGAATATAGTATTTACAAACGAATTGCAAACGATTACAATAAAAAAAATCATTTAAGAGTGATTAGAAAAAAAATACGGCTAACTACATGGGTCATAAGTTTTTTATTTTTTATAAAAAAACTATCTACTCTTAAACATTATGACCCTTTTTACAATCACCTGCGAACGATTTACAATCGATTGTATGAGTTCGTTTTTGTAATTATTGATAATTTGCAGCTAATTACATACTGCTCTTCTTTCTGACTCTGGTGCAAACATCTAAATGATTAAACAGCTGGGCAGATGGCGCTCAGATATAATCGCACAGGGTTACATAGAAAATTCTTTTAATAACCGACCGCTGATTTTGGTTTCCGCACTTATTCCCCAAAGAAAGAAACTTCCGGAAAAAGTTTCCGGCGATTATTTTTTTCCGTAATAAATTACTTGGGAAATTTTTTTTTTTCGGAAAAAATTACATGGAAAAAATTTTCCCGTAATTTAGTTCCTCTTTTTTCACTTCTTTGGAAAAAATATTAGAGAAGAAAAATATACGAATATATAGGGAATAGAATCCATTTTTTCCTATTAAAAAAAGCAGAGCACTGTCATGGCGCCCACCACAAGTGTCATGGCGCAATGCTTATGGGGCACTGTTATTCGGGGCACATTTATTCGGGGTGAATCCACACGAGCAGTTCCATGAGAATTGACATGGAGAATTGCATCAACGGCGCGGCCGCTTGCGGCCGCGGCGGCGCTAGTACATATAAAATGTACAGAAAACAATGTTTGCAGAAGTTCAGGGAAACTTTAGATTTAATGGGTATATTTTGGCTTTAGATTCTAGCTTGAAACGTATTGAATGGTGCCACACTAAAATCGACGTTGGAAGGGAGAGCAACAATGGAGTGGAGATTAATTTCCCCTCACTTATGACACTCTTTCGTGTAGTGTTTATATTGTGCCGTGGCTAATAGCGAAATATACATGTATTCTTGGAAATTTCGCATCAGTTCGAAAATATTATTAATGTTCAACCACGTACAACAAATGCAGTCGAAGGCTGGCATCATGGCTTCAATGAAAGAGCACAAGGTGCCCAATTATGCTTGTGGAAATTCATTGATTTGATTAAAACTGAGCACGCCCTCACAGAAGCTTGGATGGAGCAATTGAATGCTGGTGGGGAACCGCCTAAGAAGAAGAAGAAATATAGCTATTACGAGAGACACATTAAAAAACTTGTTGAAAAGTACGGAGGTATTGATATTGTAAAATAATTGCCCAGGTAGGAAATGCCAGGCTTGGAGAAATGGGCCGAGCCTGGCACAAGCCTCGGGTAGCCAAGCTCTGGGTAACCTAAGCTCGGTTGAAGCTCGGCCATCCCTTGGTTTGCCAAACTTTGGGCACCCAAGCTTGGTTGGAGCCTGGGCCCCCCCTGGGTGCCAGAGCTGGCATTTTGGCAAATAGGTGGCTACCCCATACTCTGGCAAATAGGTGGCTACCCCATACTCTGGCAACAACTCTGGCCCAGTCATGGTTGACCTTCGGCACGCCGAAGCTTGGTGACCAGGCCTCCTCCAGTGGTGGGTCAGGGCTTGGTGATTGAAGTTCAGCCACTGGTAATTTTTTTTGTCTATATATATATATTTTTTTTTGTTAATTGCTTTTATTTTATATGTTTCTAAGCACAAAGTTATCGGTTACATACCTCAATTTATTGAAATTGCAGAAGTTACTTGCATAAGATGATTTTTTACAAAATAATAATCATCAATATGATTTGTATAATTATTATTAATTGATATACGACATACGAGAATGGAATTTCAACTAAGCGTGCGTTAGGCTAGTGGTTAGGGCGCCGGACTAGTACTTGTTAGGTCGTCGGTTCGATCCTCGGTTAGGGTAAAATTGTAAGTTAACAAAATCGGTTTTTCAGCGGTAATTTCGGTAAGGATCGGTAACTAGGTAATAATTAGTGATAAAAAAGGGCATAAAATGCATTAATTATTTTGTTTTTGCAATTAACCATAACTGTGGAGAACATTGTAGAAGTCGCTCTGTGTCACTATTGATTATTTTTCCTCCTCAAATCCGTTGTAAGTGCTCAGGGAGGTATTTAATGGTTTCCTCTTCGATTATTCCGACAATATTTATATAATCAACCATTAATGAATGGAGCCTGGTGGACAATTGGCAACCGAACTTGGGCCAAGACTGACAGCCAGGCCTGGCCCCGTGTTATCATCCCAGGCTCCAGCCGAGCTTGGCACGGACTTGGCGGAGCAACGGGCCCCAGGCCTGGCAAGCCCGGGCACCGCAGTCGGCCCGGGCTTGGCTCATTCGTTTTTTCCTACCTGGGTGCGAGGCATTGCTAAAAATAGTTCATTGCAAATAATTTAATGAATTGAGGAAATTTTTGGATTTTGATGACAACTTTGACTCGGAACCTCTGGATCCACGTCAATAATTCTTTCTTTTTCTGAAATACATTTTTATGCCATTTTTTGTTCATAACAATATTTGTTTTCAACTAAAAATACAACTAGGTTTTGCACTGCAAACAAAAAACACAATTTTCACACCAGTGATAAAGGAAAACGAACTTGGGAGAAGTAATTCGGTTTTTGATAAACCAGCAATGAAATTGAATTTTAAAAACCACCAACTGGTCAGCCACATCCATGTAAAACAAAAACAAGGCATGAAGATTTAGACATTAAAAATAATAATGGCAGAAGTTCAACACTATTTATAAATCAAAAGAAACTCGGCAGTAGAAAATCGTTTTTTGATAGACCATCAATAAAAGTGAGTTTGGAGAATCAACTAATTATTCAGCCAGGTTCATATTAAAAAAAAGAAGTAATGAAGATCTTGACAATCAAAATTAAAGTGACATAAATTCGATACTAAAAAAACATGATTTTAAAGTTGACAATTGTACTTTCAACATTTATTTATGTAATTGCAATAAGGGAAATGATTCGCAAAATCGTTGAAAAAGCAACCATATACGTATACAAATGATCTTATGTAATCATTAATAATATTCCATTATTATTGTGGGATAGTATATTATATAGTATATCTCTATTATAGATAAACTCACATTTCGTCAGAAAATACTTTATTTCCGTGAGGCACACGATATTTTATTCGATTCTAACCTCGCTTCACGAATCGTACTTTCCAGTCCCTAGGGGAATAAAGTAAATTTTCATTGCAATACATTCCATTATTATCAAAAGTAATTTTCGAATTTTATTTATATGCATTTTTTACCCATTTGCCTGCCCCGACCAGCAAAACGGCCCGGGCAACCCCTGTGAAGTTCACGAGGTGGCTGAGTGTCGCACTGATGCAAGCCACAAAAGTAGAAAGTGCAAATTGCAACTATATTTTATCAATCATTTCGGGTTGGGTTGAAGAAAAATAGTACGATACTCAGCCAGGAAGTTGGATGCCCTAGCGTACGTGATATAAGGAAATCCGTGGAGATCCAACTTTCCGGCCATGGGTCGTAATATACTATTGAGAATTAAAATAAGTAAATCCGATTAAAACCTGCATTAAGACATTTGAAAACCTTAAACGTACAAATGAAGAATCTTAAATTGTACTGATTTTCCCAACTTCTGAAAAAATTCTATCCTAAATTATTGCCTTCACGAAATTGATTTTTTCTAACACGTTTCAATTTTAAGTTCATCTGTCATTTTTAACTGCACGAGATATAAAAATGTAATTGAATGCTTTAACCAATATCTCGATGATGAATATAATACAGAAATTGTTTAAAAATTTCTTGTTGGGCAATCTACTACACTTTTGCAAAGGAAAACATTTTAAAAACAGATGGACAGTTTTCGGCGCCAAAATAGATGGATGGATGCAAATAATTCTGTTTCAGAACCATAATAAAACGAAAATTTCCGGCTTTATTTGAATTATTTTGCATAATTCGTGTTAGGAAAATGGAAACAATTTATTTTTGAATATCTCGGCTATTAAGAGAGTTTTGTTTACACCCAATCTCGTCTCTTCCAAATATACTTTGTGATAGAAAAACGTAGAGAACGTAAAAAATTTGGAGCCAATTTTCTGCATTAATGATGACTGAGACTCGCTGTTTAGAGGGTGGAGTCAGAGATCCTACAAATCTTCAATTTCAAGCAATTCACAAATACGAAACTTGATCAATAATACCACGATTCCGAATGCGTAATTGAAATTTAAGGTTTTTAGGATATTTCAAATGTCGGTGATTTAAGTACATGGCGAGAAATTTCCAAGAAAAAGTACAGAACATTTCACGTAATCCCCATGATTACGCGAGAATGATTTTGCTGCATTTCGATAGAAGTATAAGAGAAAAATCTAAACTATTCAGTAAATTTGTGGGTTTGTCACCAAAATGGTATGAAAAAGCTAAAAGGATTTCACAAATTATTATGGTAAAAAAATTTTATATACCATTTCGAAAATATTACGTTTTTCTAGGGTAATTTTGATAGGTCTTTTCTCTCCATTTATCCTATCGGTAACATTTATTGTTTTTGAGTGACGGACATCGATATTGACGGTCGACAACACAACGGTAACTAGTCGTAGATAATTTATCGACAACTTGACTAACTGGACTTGGTGCATTTCTTGTGTAATTAATTAAAAGCCTCCGTTACATATACGGGTCTATAATGTAATTTGTACAATTTCGTGTGACTACTTAAAACCATGTACTTAACATATTACTATTAATAAATATGATTGAAATATAAAAAATAATTTGTAAATAAGTTTGTATTCATCGAATTATGATTTAAACGGTTAAAATTGATACTGCGGAATTTTTTTGTATTTGGGCGATTGAATAAAAAAGGTGAAATAGAAAATTACAAAACAGAATTTTTTTTTGTTAAGAATCTGTGTATGACTAATGCCTCAATCTATTACCGCAAGATAAATGCTGGATAATATGTAGATACACTTATAACTTTTCCTCCTATTTCTCAACAAGTAGATAGATCCACTCTAGTCAGGCAATAAGTTGATAGTACGTGATTTTTAGACCGTAGAGGTTACTGGCTCTCTGTACGAAAGGTTAGAGACAGAGAGAGAGTGAGTGCGAGAGAGAAAGAGCGCGGGCGAACGACCCACTGTTACCGGGAAAACCACAGCGACCATAACCTTACTTATTATTGAAACATTGAGCTAAAATCTCCACTGTGCTCTTGTAGAAATCTTATTCAAAAAATGTTTATGAAACCGAGACCGCTATTGTTCATCCTTCGAGGCATATCGACTGTTTCTGAAGATATTGCGAGTCTCGTCAAAGTAAGTTACAATGTATTCTAATAGTGCACAATAGATAAATAGATCTGCATTTGATATTCTGAAGTTATATTGCCTAATTACAGAATAACAAAGTGGTTGTATTCATGAAAGGAGTACCTGATGCGCCTAGATGTGGCTTCAGTAATGCTGTTGTTCAAATTTTAAGGATGCATGGAGTTAAATACAATGCACATGATGTTCTTGCTAATGAAGAACTGAGACAAGGTAAATGAAAGTGAATACTAATCAATGAACTACTATGACTGTAAGCTATAATATTATAATATGACTGCGGCTATTAGATTAACTTACTTGGTTATTTCCGATTCATTTTTTATATTTCCACGTCTATCGTACAAAATTAAAAATCAAATTAAACAGTTCCACGGAGAATTCGCTATAGTGATTGAATTGACATGAATCATTTCGAAAAATATCGGTTGTTGTACATATCTAGTAAATTGGTGATTCGAGAAACCAATGTGTAGAAGAAATTTTGGCAACATGCATGAAATCTTCAAAATCATAAAAATATCAGTTGAATTTTTTAATTAAAGATTAATGACCGTTGTGAAAATCAAGTTAACAGATTTAGATAAATTTTCATAGAATCTGCTATAAATTGTGATAATACGTCGATAATGATTGTGTAAAATAATAATCTCACAAGTTTTGACTGTTCATTCAGATAAATATATACAGGATAGTAGAATATTATTTATTCTCGTATTTTGTAGAAATCAGTTATAATTTATTTGTTTTTAATTGCTTTAGATTTTTTTTTCGCTAGACTTGAATAAATTCTGTTATTTAAGTGACATGAAGTACATTTTCTATAGCCAATTTCCTATTTCCAATTTGTTAAAATCGTACATTTTTAACATAATTTGATGAGTATCCAAATTATATTGCAAATTATGCTATAATTTAATAATTTCATATATTTTAATACTTTTCATGATATAACTACATTGGTTCTCATATTCTAACTTTTTTTATATTCGGCGTAATACAACATCGTTTACCATTGCATGTTATTATTTGACCGGATGTGTCCGTTATTTTCAACAAAGGGCTTTAGTAATGGTTAATGCAAACCGTGTACACCGTTTGTTACTTCCATATACAAGCTTTTAAATTACTGCATTAATAATTGATGGTATAGATCAACATTGTGGTTGACCGAAATTTTATTGAGTGCAAGAAATGTTTTGTTTTGTACTGCTTCTCACAATTTCTCGTTCGAAAATTGGTACCACATACTTTGCAAACTCGAATACTTGAAAATCACTACGGAAAAATAATATCCGGAATGCTGGGATGCGGTTTTTCTACGTGTGGGCTGCCTCGCCTTCGGTTCGGTTCGCCATACTCCACACGAGTAAAAAGCCCCATCCCGACAGTCTGGAATATATACTATCTTTTCACTCTATTTATCAAAACCGTCTATGAGGAAGATTTAATTAATAAAAATTATAATACATGCTTTATTACTCTCGTAGGTGTCAAGGATTTTTCGAATTGGCCTACAATACCTCAAGTTTTCATGAACGGTGAATTCGTTGGGGGATGTGATATTCTACTCCAAATGCACCAGAATGGCGAGCTAATAGAACAACTCAAGAAAATAGGAATTAACAGTGCTCTTTTACAAGAATATCAAGAGAAATCCCCTAGTAAACCTGAAAAATAAAAATTCTACTATTATGAATAAGAAATCAATTATGGTCAATAGTTGTTTTTTGTTGCAAATAATATATGCTAAATATTTTTTATTGTATTTCACACTTATTATCATTCCGTTTAAACGAGACAGAGGAGAAGACTAAATTACACTGTTTAACTGTTGTTTTCAAGCTTTTTGACGCCATTCATCCCTGGATCATTAGAGTTGAGCGAGTTGCCTCTCATTTTCGTCCGTTTGTAGGACTATAGGAGCATATAAAACAGCAATTGCTTTCGGAGAAGCAGTTGACCACAGAAGGAATCTGATACTCCTTTTATGAGTGATTCACCTTTTAATTTTTCTTGCTTCTGAATGGACACATTTCATTCGCGGATTTTGAAATTGTCTAACTAGGCCGGAAAATGATATAAAATGGTATGAAACATGAAGAAATTGTGTTTTCAGAAAATCTACAGATATAATAACGCACTAGAAATTGCAAAACATTGATGTGGATGAATTTATTCACATGGAATATCAATTTTTTTATCCATACTAAATTTAATTAATTTCAATTTTTACCACACCGCCAGTTTTTCTTTTACCAAGTTTTTTTAAATTCAAACAGTAAGCACTTTCATTATATACAGACCTTGAAAAACTAGTATGAAAAAACAATGGTTACCCTGTATGGTGCTTTAGAGAGAAAAGCATTACGACCTATAGAGTCTCGAGTTTTAACAAGATTGTGTTCTAAACTGTAATACATATGTTATATTTATTTCCCCTCATCTATGGGATTTGAACAAAAAAAAGTATAATTTTTCTTTATTATATATCTTATATGTAGATGTGTCTTTTGTGCTAAAAAAAGATTTTTCGTTGCTATAATTGCAAAAAAAAAGCACGACTGTAACTTGTTGTATACCCTTTATTTGATATATTGAAACTCCGTATGAGCTCCGTGAATTCCCCAATTATCCCTCTAAATTTTAATGCTTAGAAACCTTTTCCCAAAACTCCAGTGCAATAACCATGAAATAACCCTCTAATTCCCAAAAACCTCGACAACTCATTTTTCTCAATCGATTGATTGCTTCCTCGGTACTTTCCCCAGTACCTCGGGCCTAATCCGGGACTTTCTCAACTTTCTACCCGTTCAATAAATGCTTTTACTCCCTTACCCGCTAACTCCAACCCTTCAGGACAATCCCTCACTACTACTGACCAATCACCCACCTTCGGCCTTTCTCCTTCCAATTTCCTCAACCCCTACTATCCACCCTCAAGGGACTTAAAACTAAGATCGCTTGAGAAACGACAGCATAGATATATTTGGAGACTAGGAAGAAACAAGTAGTCAGGAAGATTTCCAAAATACGATCAGCTTGTGTTATAATTATAAATAAAGATTTCGTAAATTGAAGTGGGTAATTCCTTCAACCCGGAATCCAACAAACTGCTTAAGAATAAAAAGAGGGGAAGGGAAAAAAAGGAGAAAAAAATGGAATGGAAATAAGAATGGATTGGATTTTTGATGATTTGGTTTTCTTCCGGCTACTATCAACTGTACGTCGCAGGAAGACATTTCCTTAAATTAGTATTGTATTATTCCTTCACTTGTTAGTCTATTACATAACCCCAATTAATGAGGTCTCCGAGATCGTCGATTATTGAATCTGATGAATCTTCGGGACGTATTATTATTATTATTTTTTTTTTTTTTTCTTCCGTTTTTCGAGTTCATGGCGAGCTTTTAGTTCTCTTAAGCACGTATTGTTTTCGTTAAGCCATCAGAATTCTTTTTTGACTCTGGTAAAGTCTTTGAGATCATACACGGAGAAAAAATTCAATGAATTTTTGCTGCAGACGTTGGGGAAAAATTACTGTGCTCATCGGGAATCGGGGTGCAAAGCACACGCACGAGAAAAAGTCATGCCCTTAACCCTAATTTTTACCAAGCGAGATAAAAAAAGTCATGTCCTTAATCTTAATTTTTACCAAGCGAGATACGGGAAAACTGTATCACTGTGGAAGAAAAATTACTGTGTTCGTGTCATAAAATTTCTTTATCGACCGAATAAAAATTATGCCTTCCCGCTCGAATGTTTAAATTGGCCGTAGAGAATAATTATTTCCCAATGAAACAAACACATTGAGTAATTCATTGTATCTACGGAGAGGAAGGAAAGGGAATATACACCAAAAGACATACATATATTATTTTTTGAAAAAGTAAAATTTATTAAATTCTTTTCATAACCACTTTTTAATTATAAATTTTGCACCATTAAAGGCGCGAACTAAATTTGTTATGATACCGCTATGTACATGACTTAAATCTAAAATCGCCCAGGAGTAAGCCTCTTGGTCCTGTGCAAAGCAATCATGATGCTCATCCAAGTAAATACCTTCCAGTGTCTTAACAATAAAGAAAATGTCGTCTGGAGAAAGTACGGTGACCATTTTGCTGAAAGATGCAAAAGATGCAAAAGATGCAAAAGCTTAATTTCCATAATAACCCTAACCGATTAATCACATTGCATTCTAGGCTAATAATTGTAAAGGAATCAATGTGACTTTAATAGGGGTTAATTTCGAGAAAGAAAAACGAAAAAATGCCAAAAAAACAGGTTATTTGAATGTGAAAATTTTGCCAGACAGACTCATTTAACCTCAAATAAATAATTTTCGAGTAAAAAATTAAAAATTGTCCAGATTTCAATGCATGGGAGAATAGAACAGATGTAGATGAGTATTATGAAATGTACAGCGAGAATGCAAATATACTATATATATGAAACAAACTGACAATCATATAAAAAAAACCCAACCGACATCATGCTATTTGATCTGTACCTTATAATTTTTCCATTAAAAACTAATTGATTTCAATACTTACCCAATTTTAATTGATTCTTCTTATAAAGTTGCATTTTTCTATTTCACAAAAGAGTTAAATAAACGTGTGTAAAAAGTAAAAGTCCAGGAGGTTTGGCGGTATATATGAAGCACTTCAGCCCAAGTAAAACGTTTGACAACATCCGGAAGTAATCCGTGGGCATCAGCAATTGTTTCATCCCAAACCAGAGGGATGTCGTGAATATTCATAGGGAGCACAGTAAAAATCTCGCAGCAGCAAAGAGGCGTGTGGCAAGTTTCACAGTATTGGATCATATTATGTTAATCATTTTTTCTTTGCGTTCGCAGTAATGCCTCTTAGCCTCAGAATTTTTACTGTGCTGCATAGGAAAATTCACTGATGAGAATGTCGAAAAATCTTCAATTTCCTGTAAATAAGCATGGTGTACTTAGGTATTATTCTTAGCTTCGTCGATAAATTTTCCGAATAAAACATTTTGCACTGCGATTCCCGTGCCGGGCACAGTAATTTTTCTGAGATTTTTTTCTCAGTGCAGTTAGGGATCTCTCTAAAATATAAGTGATCGCAGGAGTCAAACTCAATGGGGATTTTTTTAATTCTTGGTATGTCTCGGGATATGATATAGACTGGGTCTGTTCAGTTCATTCTGGATGAGGCCGATTCCATCAGAGTATGTGAAATATTGTAGCTTTCTATGACCACTTCTGGCTCTGCTGGTGGCCTCTTCTGTTGGCAAAATTGCCAACCATCTTATAATTTCATTTTGGATCCCTTTCATCATATTATAATATATTACTTAATATAATATTTCCTACAGGTCTCAAACAGTTTCTCCCAAAATTGCACAACGTCCCTGATGCGTATGTTAGTAATGGCCTGATGAGTAATATGTAACATTATTCTTGCGCTTTTATTGATGAATTTGTTATGGAATAGGTCGCTAAAAGCTTCATATATTTTTCTAAAACTGTATTCGTCAGTATCTTGAAAACCTTCTCGATGGATTCGTTTTTTTCTCTTTTAAATACTCGTCTCGATGTCTTCTGTGATAATCAATCAATGATATATATTACCTGTTAGAAAGTTTTCGTAATATTGCCGATTATCCATTTTTTCCCCTAAATTCCTTAAGTCCAAAAATTCGACACAATGTTGAGGTCGAAGGAAGGAATTTAGTAGTATTGTAGCTTCCATACTACAAAATTCACGGATCTTGACTGAATGAAATTGGTTACAGAGATATTCAAATTTATTGACCAATGTCTCACAAACTACTTCAACGTAACCATTTTCGAGATTAAATTCTTCCCCAAAATTACTGAGCAATCAAGAACAAGCAGAGGTTGTTTTTTCAGAGGAGAGGGCACTGGAAGATCTCAAGGCAGTCGGAGTGGAGTGGTGGAGTTTTTGGAGCTCGGCACGAGTTGGTGGCAATAATCCCCCTGCTTACGCGTCCCCGACTAGTGAAATGGATTGGTTTGTGGCTGCGTACCGTACGTTTCTGGCCACAGAGACCCATCTCCAGGGTGCAACTCATGGTGGTGGGGTGGATCAAGGGTTGGGTATCAAGCCGATTCTCGTAGGTCCGATCGCACGTTTCTCCGTGGGCAGTAGTTCTGATTTTGGCCCGCAATCAGATTGCTGGTGCTAAACAGTCTCGAGTTGGGTAGGACATTAGGTGGATGAGCAAGGGCTCCAGAGGCCAATATTGCATGCACCTCGCGATGTTTAGCACCCTGCAGGGTGAGAAGGATTCGCAAGTAATCTGGGTCTTGTTCGGAGTCGAGCCACCCTGGAGGAGAGTGAAAGACGTGTGAGGGATGGCAACATCCCTCCGCGACAGACCTGGGGAGTGCGTCCTCCAATAGTTCCCACTTAACGACGCCGCGATAGCGGCTGAAGTCGGTAAGCAGAGTTGCTCCGACGTTGGTAAACCTCGCCCACTCTACCGTGTCATGCTGATGCTGGCTCAGCATTGTGAGACCCGCCACCGAAAGTCCGCGGAGTCGACGAACTTCCTCCACGGCTGGTTTTCTTCAGGTTTTCCAAAAAAAAACCGGGCTGTCGTCTATCGCTCAGGATTGCGCGCCAGCTAGAATAGTTTGAGGATTATCACGGGAGGTTGACCAGGAAGAATCTTCGTACAACGTCTGCAATTATTCATTTTGGATCACTAACTTTGGACTTTGCTAGCTCTGCTGTGAGCTTCTGGGGTATTCGCTCACTCGAAGGGATGTCACGTGAATGATTGACAAAAATTCACTGGATTATTAATCGCTGGTGTATTATAATTTGCAAAACAATGATATACTCCCTAATCTATATATGGATGACAAAAAAGAGAGATTATATTTCTGGTTCTAATGAGTAACCTTGTGTAAATGTTGAATATTTATTATTCTTATTGAAATCGACGTATTGGACAACCCCAATACGTCACGACGCAATATCTATTTTCTTTTGAAATGGGCCTTTTCGCGACTGTTTACATCAGGGCTTCGCAACGTTCAGGTAGGCGAGAGTCATGCTATTACTAGAATCGGGATAATTTTCAAATCTTAATGGGCACCCAATCAGCTAGCCTTTTATCTGCGAATAAGTCCTAGTGATGGCATCACGCAGAGTGGCATGCAAGTCGAATAAAAATGGCTCATCCGCCAAAATTGGGGCAAAATTATAGTTTTTAATTTTGAATATAACATTTGAAAATAGAAATATGCAATAACAAACTTTTACAAACTTATACATACTTATAATTTATTAGGGGCAATCGCTGTTCTATCCCTCGCTATTTCCATTATCAATGAAACCGGAAAATTGACGAATATTTATCGATTTTTACCATAAGATAAAATGGCAAGGATATTGTTTATATCTCTCCAAAATCCGTTTGAACATCACATTTTATTCGAGTACGTCAGAAACTGGAAAAGGTGAATTTTGAATTTTTATTTGAACGATTTAAAACTATATTTATGATATGCTGGTAGATAAATAAAATTTAAAAGGAGCAATTCAATTTTGTCAACCACAATCAAGCACTCACTTTTTCCAAGGGCTGCGATAAGCTTCATCCAACCCTAACTCGATTTGTTTGTAGAGCGATTATAGAAAATTCGATATGTTAGATGTAAATTTTTCTGCGTTCATCAATATAACGATTTTTTTGAGTGGAGTCAGTCAGCCACAATGAAGCTAAGCGTGTAGCTGCTAAAGTTTTCCCAGTACTGTTCTTATTGTCAGGTTAGTCAGGCATGAAGAGGGACTCAGTTATGAAAAGGACCGTGGCTCAGCCACGTGTTGAAGGCAAAAACAACGATGCGAAAAATGCCTACAACAAGAACTGCGAAATGATCTATAGCAGCAGTGGGCAACTTCAGCGCTCCGAGGTACTCCAGCTCCCGACCTCCATTTGGCAGAATTGTCCCACGCCATCAAGTTTATGGCTGTGCCCCCTTCGGGACCATGATGCTCTGCGCGTAGGTAAGAGTAGTAGGGATATGCGGTAAAAACTTGGTGGTGGGAAAAGTGAGATAGAAAAATTTTCTATTTCTCCAATGAAAATATATCTTCAATTATTGTTTTTTTTTTGTTTTGGTAAATGTGTGGTTTAGGTTGGTGGACAAAAGAAAGAAACAAAAATTATGAAAATATGAATTTCTTTTGATAAAAACCATTCTTATTGTCTTACTAATCAATAACAAGACGACAGAAGCGAAAGAAACAATAAGGAGGGAAATACATCGATAAATAGTCCTAAGGTAAACTCTGTTGTCCGTGAAATTCCTTAAACCCCCCCTCGTCTTTGCTGTCGCTGTTGACGCGACGAGTGAGGGATATTTCATTCCTTATCGTGAAAGCAGAGATATGTAAATGAAGTTCGCATGAGTCGGAACTCGTAAGACTGATCCCTTATTGGTCAACTCGAATCCGAAGCCGAAATTCGAATTCCGCGCCCGGAGTGCGCAGTAGATCTCGTCCTATTTGAATAGATACAGAATGGTAGCGGCGGATAAGGCAATCGTGGTATTCGCCCAGCGATGGTAGAGGATCGGGAGAGGTGAATTCAGAGTTTTAGTGGAGGGCTTAGGACTATTAGATAAATCCATCTTTCTGTATGTCCATTGTCTTTAAATGTGCCAACAAGTGGTGTTTTTGGGGCCGACACACCGCCACGTCCTCGCCATAGCCCTGGATAACGCAGAGAGCGGTGTATTAAATGTCATATCCCCACACTTGTTGTTTACGGATAAAAAGGTGACCAGATAATTAGGTGATAGAAACCCTTCCAACTAAATAAAAAACATCCAGAATGGTTTGGTGGGCTTGAACTAGACATTTGCCTTTGTTTTTATGCTTTTGATTGGTTATTGGTTGCTTTTAATCGACCTTATAAAAAACAATTTCATACCTTTCATACATTTCTTGAAGTGGAAATATCATTTGGAAAACAGTTATTAAATATTATCATGTTGTTAATAGACCTGACTTGACATTCATATTCAAACTTTTCATTTCTGTATGTCCCGCTCTCGATGTCAAATTAAAATTCACCAATATCTTACAATCAAAAAAATGATCGGCGTCCTTTAATCTTCAATTGACGATGAAATTTTTCTTTGTCAGGTTTACGAGCATTCCACTCTCATTTGTACCGATGAGTGTTGAATCTAAACCATAGTATTTTTATTCTATTTTTTTAATCAAGAAGAAAATGTCCAAACACTTGCATAAAAATTCAAACGATTTTGCCTTCGCAGTTAACCGATGTTACTCCCACCACACATATACGACAACCTTTGTAATCGCGTTAGGTCCCTTGAAATTGGAACCTTAATAATTTTATGCCTACAGCTCTGAGCGTACCTAATCTATAGTGATTCCTTTTCCAGAGTCGCCCCCCCCCCTGCTGTGTCTAGCAACCTAGTCGCTATTACATCTCCCATACGATACAAATGACATAATTCTCGTTGAAGCTGTTCAACGTTCTGTATACCTATATTATGTCTTCCAAAACTACATTTTCACCTACATCTTTAACCTCAATTCTCAAACTACCCTTCCTGATTTCTCCGCACTTTCTCCCTAAAACTCCATCACGCTCCCCTCATATGTCCTGCATCCCCCTCAGTAAAGGACATTGAGATCAACACTCTGA